TTTTTTTGATTCAAATGCCCACAATGCTTCAGGAACAAATCCATCTACGCTACCTGTGGCAAATGATCAGGCGTTTTCCCTTGCCTGAGAGTAATTAGTTATTTTACTTCTCAGCGAGCGCACTAAATGACGAAATTAAGCAACTTACTCTTTTTAGGTTAGTGTAGGATAGGGTCTTAGATTAGTTTTTGGGTGAAGAAAATACTCAGAAACTTGGATGAAATAGCAAAACTGAGTTCGGAGCTTCCAAATCATTGATTCGATCAGAAAATGAATTATCTGCATCCAAAAAAGTTCATATACTTCGAAACTTACCTGCAGGATTTTTCAATCCCGTCGAAAGGCCATCTAAAAAAGCCTGCCTTGAGGACCTCACAGATCTGTCTACCCAAACCTTTCCCTGCGTATGCCCCGCGTTCACCCATGTTTCGTCTAAATAATAAATTTTTCTTCCTTCAGCGCGGAATTGCCTAATTTTTCTAAGGTATTCTCTCCTCCAGATAACAATGTCCTCCTTTTCTATCAGTAAACTATTCCTTCCTCTTTTCAAAAATCGAAAGTCTAGTTCTTTCAACAGCTTATGGAACGTAGATCTTTTAAAATTTGGCAGGTCCTCATCATCATTCACTTGCTTCAATATTTTATCTATTGTAGGTATTTCATTCCTGAAGAAAAAGTGATGTACTTTTCTTCTAATGGCACTTTTGTCAGTCATCTATTTTTTCGATGATTTTTTTTCTCGGATATGGATATGTTTTTGGCTCAGATAGTGAGTGATTTTGTCTATATTCCTTCAAGATTTTGTAAACACTTGATCGACCTACTCCAGAAATTTCAACAACCTTACATACGATATTTTCTATAGCCAATCCACTATTCTCTTGCATCTGGTTCTTGTAGATATTTAGAATAATTTGTTTTTCACCTGCGCTAAGATGAAGCTTTTTAGCCCTTTTTCTGGGTGACGTTAAGCTGATTTCAACTACTTCATCAGCTGTATCTGTGTCAGACATTTTAGACTAATATTAAATTTCCGCAAGAAAAATCAAGTCAAGACGTGCATAAAACGTTCGCGCTCATAAACGGGTATCCGTAACTAATTACAATCCTGTGCGTGGTGACGAACCATCAACGTGACGCTGAGAGTTCCCTCTACTATGCAGCGTTGCCAGGCTTAATGTCACAATGATCATGTTTTATTGGGAAAATTGTCAGAAATCGCCGAATGTTGAACAGAAACATTACAAGAAGTCTAACCTTGAAATGTGAGGCTACAAATCGATATTCTTATAGGGGGGAAGGGTAGGGAGCTGTTATGGTTCCTATTAACCTTGGTGAAAGTTCGAAACGGTAATATCATATATGGCATACATTTTAATAGATAAATCTGCACAAAAAAACACAAAAGGAGATTTTTGTATTTCCCTGAAAAATATCTCAAGGTTATTTCAGACGTACTCATCGAAACTTTATGGAAGGATTATCGAAACCTTATTTTCAATTGCGATAGGGCCACATACCTCGACATCGCATTAATGTGAAAAATAAGACAATAGAAAAAAATTCCCTCACTGATGCTATCTCTTAGGAAAAATTTAACTATAAAGATTGCACAAAAATTTTCATCACCTTTTTGAGCTTGTTTTCGCATCTTCGTATATGCCGTTCATAATTTGCTGCAGATCAAATTGGAATATACCTTTGTAATGCCATTTATTGTTATATAATGTCCTTTACAACAGTTATTGCACGTATTGCACCAACAGATTGATTTGTGATCCATGCGAATGTGATCAACCACTCTGGCGAAAACTCGCCGAGCGTGGCAACCGTGCGACTTTGTCTGGAGGCTCGTCGCTACAAGCCAATCAGGAAGAGGCCGACAGAGCGCCATGGCTACCGATCACGAATCAACCACTGTTTACGATTACTTTGTAGCTTCGTTAGATACACTTTAGAAGCCGTTCAAACCTGAGGCCTCTTGATGACATTTCCCATCACAATTTGGTAGGTTTCGGGAGGAATTTTTTCAATCGCTTCCGTAATATTGTTCTTCTGCTGCTCTATAGTATTTGGTTTGTTAACATAAAACCTATTTTTCAAAAATCCCCATAAAAAAGTCAGGATCCGTAAAATTCGGTGACCTTGGTGGCCAGTTGACATCACCAAATCGAGAAATTAAACGCGAGATATTCGCAAAAGATTCATTGTTTCTCTAGCTGTGTGACAAGTTGCTCCATCCTGCTGGAACCTGTTTTGCAGGTTAAATTGTTGGATTTGAGGAGCCAGCGGTAGCGCTCGCCAGTAACAGCATGAGAATTACCTGGCACCTCCATACCAAAACACCGCTCCAAACTGGGACTCGACGAAGACGTAGTGGTTGTTGATGGATGACACGAGGGTTATCTAATGCCCAGATACTTCTTGGGTTAACTGAATTTCGTATGGCCGCAAATGCAAGTCTTTTTTAAAAATAGTGCATAATGTCGTGCGACGAATACCCAGTTCTTGAGAACGATGTCTGGTAGACGTCTCAGGGCGCTCCACTACACTTTCACGAAGTCTCTCGATATTTTCCGGAGTAGGTACGAACATGATGAATTTGACAAATATGCTTCAAACAACTACTGCGGTATCACCTACTGAAATAACATACGAGTATCAAAAATGGCGCGCAACTTAAATCAGTCAGTTATATATTGGCCACTCTGTATAGTTTTGCAATTGCAATAAAACTGTTTATAATGAGCTTTTTAACTCAGAAATGGTTGACTTTTTCAAGAAAACTCAAGAAAATTACTTCTGTCGAAAATAAAACAACGAACATTTTAGATGTACTTATACAGGGTGACTTTGAAGTTGAGTCATTAATTTTCAGATAATGATTGTAGAAGGAAGATAAACCAAAATATGTGTGTAAAAATAAAAAAATAATTAAAAAAAAAATTTTACCTTGTTTTATAAAGTATCCTCCCGACAAGTATTTCAGTGCGGACCTGTATTTGATCGTGAGGTCTTGGAGCACCGGCATGCCGTCCATATGTGAGGTCTTAAGTCAAATGATTCACGAACCCGTTGTACTACATTAACAAAGGCACGAGGGGTTGGTTGCACTCGATTGGGAAACCGATCCGCATAAACATGTGCCATTTTTTATTTCGTTTGAGCCACGCAACAGACACGACTATTCACTACCGACTGACACTGACTGTATACAACTGAATGAAATAATTGTAAAAACATCGTTCCAAATTCTTTCGCTTTTTTGTTTCCGATGCGATGAACCGATAAGGCGGATTGTATCCGTTGTCGCCAAACACGAGCACATAATATTATTATTGAGACAGGGCGGTACTCAAACTTCCAAAGGGCTATAACTTTGTTACTTTAATTTTACCAGAAAAATGGTAAAGGAAAAAAACATTTCTTTTGATCAGATCTACTCACTGTTAAAACAAATGACTCAACTTCGAAATCACCCTGTATATATGTTGGGAATATAGCCTGCTGAATCGGTAGAAAACAGAAGATTTACGTCAATTTTAGATGGATGAATTTAAATTTGATTAAAGGAGCAAACAAAATGGAATCTTTCTTATGTTGAATAAGATTATAGTTTGTTGTTTAGTGAGACGAGTAAGAAAAAATACAATGTAAGATAAAATTATTCAGAGGCGCATGAGCTTAGTTTTGAAGGACTTATGAAAAGAAAGATTATCTAAGTGTATTACTTACCTTTCTTTTTATGTCTATGATTGTATCAGATGCACTGTACTTAGATAGAAGTATCGATTTTCATCAGCTGAATAGAGCAGAAATCTGGGTTGAATACAAAAAAAAATACCAATGTGCCAATTTTCGGCAAATTTGTGCTTTTTGCTTTTACGAATGCAACGTACATGATTGTTTTTTATTTTCAATAAAACAAGAAAACCATACGTTTTTACGTGAATTGGGAGTTGTGTAGAAATATTTAAAGAAGACACAGTCCACGAGTGACATGTGGATAACGTTACTTTGTTTACAATTTGTATGACGTCACGTCATGGCCGATAGTGTTTTTACCGTTTCCTATTAACTTACGTGTGTTCTAAAAGTATTGGCAAAAAATATTTTTCAGATTTTTATTTAATGAAGAAACTCATTTAAACACTAACTAGTTATTATAAATTACAACTCAATACTGCCCTAACCTTGTTAGACATTGAGCACCAGACAAGGATTTTATCTGCGAATTTTGCTTTATGTTTGTAGCTAACACTTTCAGGGCATTCCTCTACGTTGTCCGTGTAAAATCCGTCGTTTCTCTTCATTTCAGAATTACTCAAACTGAAATTCTTTTCGTCATCTGAAATGATGATTTTTCCATCGGCAAAGTGTACAAGCCTCAGTTGACGACAGCATCTTGGTATACGAAGGAATTTCGCTTGAGAGTATCTGGGGCGCTTGAGTCTCTTTCTATATTTAAGACCATTCCTCCTCAATTCCAACGATATCGTACTCTTAGGAGATCTGTATTGACGAGCCAGTCTCCTTGTTGACATTCCAACTTGGTTTTTTGTTCTTCTCACCAATCTTTCTGACCTCACACGTGGTCTTCCTTTTTTTTGGGAAATTCAGACATGGTATCAATGTTCGCACTCCGCTATTGTTCGATAAATGGTTCTGCGTGAAATGTTTTCATTCTGGATTATTCGACAGATTTCTGCTTTGGGTTCCTGCGCAACCAACTTGTAAATACTTTTTCTAATTTCTTATTTATACGACATCTTAAAGCGAATACATGTCAACTGATAGTAAAGTAAGTAAGCAAACTTTTGTTTCCAAAGGCAACCTGATATTATTTTGTGTTTGTTAAAATTAAAGCCAATGAATTTTGTACCAAAACTTTTAAGACATACATTATATAACCATCTTGCGGTTTTAAAAATTGAAATCGATATGTTTCGGTGTCCTAAGGCAAATACGGTAATACTCATTTATTCTATGAAATTAGATGAGTCAAGTACCGGCGACATTACTTTGGCAAAATGACTGTACACATTAACATTATCATAAACGCCTAATGAAATAATAGAAAACCAAATATACTGATAACAATACGCCTACGCAACGGTCAATAGTAGTGTCCACCGTACATTCCTTATCTGACACATGCAGACCGTTATTACGTCGCCACCGTGGTGCATCCTACGACAACAAGAAAAACAACTGACAGTAGCGCTAATTACGAGAGTATATCCAGTTGGCTCTGAATGTGCTCTATATTCACGTAACCAGACCACAAGGGTCGACAGTCGTTTGTCAGTGCTCACATCCTACGTACCGCAACACAAATATACAGGGTGTTACTGTGGGAACCGATAGTGAAGCTGTGGGATCGTGGTAATGTGCGTATAATTGTACTAATCTGTGGTAATGACATCGTGTGTGCATGTGTCAGGAAGTGTCGGATTTGTGAACTCATTCATTTTGGTGGCATGTTACTATACCGGTGATTTGCATTGCATGTATATTAATTACATTTTAACGAGTTTTGATTTATCAATGAGTTTTCATTCAGTAAATATTTGGTAAAAACTGTAGCGTGCATGGTTTTGTCTTACATTGTGTGCACAGTGTTACAAATTTATTGGAGATTATGGGTTCACACACACATCAATCAACTAGTTGTTCTGCGTTTTGCGCTCAATCAACCAGATCGTTTCTTGTGACCTGGTCAGTTTGGCTTTTAACTATACCGTATATACTGATTTTTACTAAATTTAATTGGTATGAGATATGAAATTCAGACGTCCTCACAGCTATCACCTCTACATCCATGGCATTCCCACAACTGTCACTCCAAAAACCATGGCTTGGATGATTTTACGAGTGCGGGATTTGAACCGGCAAGCCTTGGAGTCAATATGCTAACAGCTCGACAGCTGCCCATTTTTTGGTTCCGATTCCTGAAGAATTGCATGGCAGTGAATGACAGAGAATAGCCAAGGTGACCGCGTATTCATTTAGGAAAGTATTTTGATTACGAAAATTTCAAATAACATTGTTGATATATGACGGTCATGAATTGCCTTCCAGAGAAACTTTGCAGATGGGTAGCTGATTTCGTCTCTGGCAGCAAGATATCCATCGTACGTAAATGACGGGATCCCCTCTTCATCCCAAATTGTCAACGCGGGTATTACCCAGGGTTCGTTCTTGGCTCCGACATTGTTTCTATTACATATCTAGGCTCGAGTATTGCTTACATGTTTGGAGTGCTGCTGCCCCGATTAGATTCTCCATGCTCGATACTGTTCAGAGCAGGGCTCTTTGACTGATCAATGAGTCTTTTCCAACTGACAAACCTCGGGACCCTTCAGCACCCACGGGCTGTCGGCGATCTGACTCTCTTCTACCTCTATGTCAACGAGCTTCGCTCCGCAGGACCCCTCCATGACCCACCTGACTACGCGCTCCCATACTTCGTACATCCTGAACTGGCCGGTGCGACCACTCCTTTATCCGTAGGGTCTCGAGATGGTGGAACAGTCTGTCTAAGGAGGCTTTTACCAGTTTTAATAACTTTAGGCATTTTAAAAACCGGAATAACATATTGTGTTTAAGGTCCTTATGGTATACTGCGCTGCCCCAGTATTTAGGCTTCATCTGCCTACGGTATAAAGAGAAGTATATAAGCGATTAATTTCCACTGATCTGTCTATTGGCCGATCTGCCGGCGTTTTTGTAAGCGTATCAACTTACAAGCGATTAAAACATTATTTTTGTAGGGATATACTGTGATGTAACAGTAGGTAGTGTTGCTACATTTTTGAAAATCAATGCAGTAATGCGGGATGATGAGCGAAACACAAAAAAAAACACAAAACATCCTTAAACAGAGGGGCACAAAAGATACTGCTAGGCGGCTAAAATTTTTAATTTTCTTACGCCTCAAAGAATTTTCACAGATTCTGGATATTCAATACCTTTCTTACAGAGAACTGGGAATTTCGGAAGCTAGAACAGTACCGCTAAGCACACAGGTATCAGAAATTTTAAAACTTAACATAAATGCCTTGATAAGCAAGCTAAAAATAGTACAACATGCTGATATACTTGTAGGTTGGATATCTAATAGTATTAAGAACATTGCACGTTCTCTACTGTGAACCTTGTCAACCATTCTTTGCACGTGCCTGCTATCAAAAAGGGAAACTCTTTTTATATTAGTGGTTATCAACTATACAGTTTCGATCATCCACCGGTATGTGGATTTGTGATGAAACCATAGATATAATTTGGAGGACATAACGTCCCAAATACTCCGTTTGGCATCAAGGTTCTGTTGATACCTCAGTGCGTATCTAAATAAGTATATAAGCTTTAGCTTAAATTACTATGATAAAACACCATAAAACTTCGAAGGGCTATTTCTCTCTTGATCTATAAAAAGCGTTTCCTGGATTTCTGTTGCCCCATCACGAATACGGACTGATAGGTTAGTGTCAACTAAATGGAACGGTGCTTTAGAATAAATCAACATCGCCAGGTTTTATTTTTATATCCTGCAGTCGTTCCCACGATTCAAATTATGTTAGCAATGTTATATAATAAGTTTAAATAAAACTTGCAGTGGACACAATGTATTTCTCCCAAAGGTCATTGATTTTGCATATAGATGTGTCCAATTAACTAATAGGATAAACATTTTAAGATACAATAGAATATTCAAGGAATTCGTAAGTCAAGTTACATTTAGATGTGTTCAATTAACTATATAGGATAAAAATTTTAAGATACAATAGAATATTCAAGAAATTCCTAATTTAAGTTGAATATACAGGTAAACCTCCCTATAAACGTATATACAAAACATTTAGAATTCATGTATTTTAATACCTGCGGTATCAATCAAAATCCTTAATCGAACTGTTCTGATTTCGCGCAATTCATATCCGCGATTTTAAGCCCACTGCCATTGAATACCGGTAATTCAGAACAGTTCTAGGACCGTTTCTATTAAGACCCGAATAAAGATGCTTTACTTTTTCTCGCAACAAAAAATATGTTCACAATAGTCATCCTTTCCTGAACAAAGGTGATAGACAAGGACCAGTCGACCGAGGCGGTACCACCCGCTAGCTTGTTCCAGGGCGTCTCAAGAATTTCCATGTTTCCACACCTAAACTACGCAGTCGGTTATCTTCCCCAACAAAGGAATTAATGATGATGGACCTCCTAGTACTAAGAATTCCGGTAGTAAACTTACTCCATTCTCGAATTGTCCGGGTGAAGGATAGACTCGAGAGAACTACATCGATGATAAAGTTTGTTTCACGAACATCTGCGGGATTAACAGTATCATCACCACCTGCAATCTAATCGTCAAATGCTTTTCTTGGCGGAGACAAAAATCTCAGATTCTGCAGCGATTAATCATCTAAGCTTTCCAAATTACGAGGTGCACTCCAATCTGAGGAAGAATGGGGGAGTTTGAACTTTTCTCCGCATCAGTATTTCCTAATCCAGAGACGTTTCTTTGGAATCAGACAGGAAGGGCACTCTGTGGCTTCGCTTCAACTCCAAAATATCCCCTAAAATTTATGTGCTGCCTTTATTGCTCTCCCTTGGACCATAACTTGGGACGACCGACTCGAATACCTAGCCGTCAAGATCGACTTACTGAACAGCAATCACCCTGTTTCAGAGGTAGTTTTCCTCGGTGATTTCAATGCCCATAATGAGCTGTGGTTGGGCTCAAACAAGACCGATGCAGCAGGTTGTGCAGTTGAAGGACTAACCCAGCTGGTGACGAGCCTTACTTTTTCCCGCCGCGTTTCGGCACACGCCAGTAGCCTGCTGACCCCTTTCTGACCAGGCATCCTATTCCTTACAGCACTGCTGTCCTGTCTCTCCTAGGTACGGACATCCCGACTGGAAAGGGCTCAGAGACTTCTTCTCTACGTTTCTCTAACAGACAGCCTCCGAACCCTTTCGCACCTGTGGGCGGGCGATCTCTTCTACCGCTACACCAAAGAACTTTGCTCCTCAGAGCTCTCCTTCATGATGCCGCCCGCGATGTGCCTGCCAGACAGACCCACCGGACTTCGTACTCCCATTCTAAGCGTGTCGAATTTCGTACATCCAGAACTGGCCGACAAGACTGCTCCGTTGTCCCTAGGGTGTCTAGATTGTGCAAAAATCTACAAGAGGAGGCTTTTCGAATCGAATTAACAAAGTTTCTTTGGAAGCCTCATAGCAGCCGCGGTGTCCTGGCGTTTAGGGTTCTGCCTGCGCGACTGCTTCGATATATACTAAGTGACATATAAATCCGAACACCCACTTTAAATGGTTTTATTTTAATAAAAGTTGGTGAATGTATTTACCTTACTGTAAATAACAAGTGAAAAAATTTTCAGCCTTATCAGTTGGACATTCCGGTTTTTATACTGCTTTTTTTTAATTCACTAACGCTCTAAAAATGAATATTTCAGCCCCAGAAAAGAATCAACGTTGGCGGATTTTGGTTCTTGACATCCTTTACGATTTCGTCAGCTTAGTGAGTTTGATAGGGGCCGTATAGTGGGACTTCGGGAAGCTGGACTTTCTTTTCGGGCAATTGCAGTTAGAGTGTAAAGAAGTGTAGACACTGTGGTTAGGTGTTGTCAGGCATGGCTTCGAGAAGGCCGTACGCAAAGAGCAAGGGGCACTGGACGCCGCCGTAGAACAACAGACCGTGAAGATCGCTGCCTAAGATTATTGGCCTTAAGGGACCATTTCTCTACTACCAGGTCCATTGCAAATGAATGGTTTGCAGAACACGGAAGACCTATTGGCATGCGAAGTGTTTACCGACGAATGAGAAGTTTTGGCTTGTTTTCATACCGGCCACACTGGGTCCTCCCTTTAACTCGAGAACACCGACGTAATCGCCTTGAGTGGTGCAGACAACGGTCACTCTGGGATCAGGAGTGGAACAGTATTGTCTTTAGTGACGAGTCTCGATTTTGTTTAGGCATGCACGATGGTCGTGCCAGGGTTAGAAGGTGACGTGGTGAAAGGAGGAATCCACAGTTTTTTGTTGAAAGACATGTTCATCACACTGTCGGAGTTATGGTTTGGGGTGCTATAGCTTATGGTTCCAGGTCACCTTTAGTCTTCATCAGAGGTAACATGAACGCGCAGCATTATATCCACGAAGTTCTAGAACCCCATCTTTTACCCTATCTTGACACCCTGGCAGATCCAACTTTCCAACAAGATAATGCCCGACCACATGTTGCAAGAGCCACAATAGACTTCTTTCAACATAATGATGTCACATTGTTCTCCCGACTTATCCCCAATTGAGCACGTGTGGGATACGATGGGTAGGAGATTGCTCAATTTGCAACGTCCTCCTCAG